CTAAAAATTTCATACAAAGAGGATCATATAACATGTAATATTTTTTGTCTTCTTTCACTTAATATAATGTTTGTTTTTATAGTAGATTTAGTTTTAAATATATTTTTCAATTCATTTGTGTTGTTACATGTATCAATAGTTCCTTTTCATTACTGAGTAGTATTCTAGTATATGAATATACCACAATTTAGGTATTCACCAGTTGATAGACATTTGGATTTTCCCCATTCATTTAGTTTCAGTTATTTTAGAATTTTAATGTTAGAACGTCTCTTTCAAATTTTCATCATCATTTTTTCATGGTCTCTGTCATTTTTTATGGTTTTGATTCTTCTATATTTTAATTGTTTTTACATAATTCTTTTATATTGTCTCTTAGATTTTTCCATTATCATTTGCCCTGAGTTCTTTGTGCTCTAACTCTTCTGTTGTGTCAGAGGACTTTCACACATGGTGGATTGTTTCCTATTGTGTTTTGTAATTTTGAACAGGTTAGTTCATTTTTAGAGGGGTTTGTTCTTTCTATGAGAATCCTTTGTGGCCTGGATTGTTGATAGTGTCTCTCTAGAGAGGTTTTGTGTTTGCTTCTGCCAAGTGCCTAAGAGATTATTACTGGCCCAGGACCAGTTTTCATGTTAATTTCTCAGGTGGTAGCATGATGCTTTTTTTTTTTTATCTCATGTATAGTTTGTCTAAATTTGTACTACAAACTTGTTTAAGACATAGGCCTGAAGTTTCTTTTTCTTAAGGGATTTTTTTTTTCTTACTTAGATCCCTGGTAGAGATAGAGAAGCTTTTTGTATTAGGTTTTTAAACTAGTGTACCAATTTGTAAAGGCTTCTGTTTTATTCAGGAGTTCACTTCTACTTTCTCTCCTCATTTGAACCCAGGGTTTGATAGGTCTCCAGTTCCCAAGGGGGTATCAAAAGTAAAACCCCTCTTTGCTAATACCCTTCCCATTTCTCCTCTACACCTCTCCCCTAGGCAACATTAGTATCAGCTCTTATCCTTACCATTCTGACTTTCAGATCTGGTTTCATCTCTGGCACTAAGAGATTTATTTCTCTTTTTTTTCTTGCAAGTCCAACCATGAATTAAAAGTATTTTTGTTGTATTTTATCCAGCCTTTTTAGACTTCTGTAGCAGGTTTTTTTGTTTGTTTGCTTTTCATTTTATTGGATTCTGAAAACTCAGATAAGATTATAAGTATTTTTTTAAATAGGATACTATACTATAGTAATTATAGGTAATAAAATAACTATATACTAAAAGAAAAACATCTCCTAAAACATAACTTCCTATTAAATGAGTATAAGCTTTCTAAATTTTTTATTTTAACAAGATTTGATAAGTGTTTAAAATTTCTCTAGCCTCCATTTTAGTTGTTAGGTTACAGTGACACTTTCTGGACATGTGGCTTCATTTTTCCCTAGCTTTATTGAGGCAGTCAGATTAGTGTTCTTTTTATTTAGGATTTATTTGTATCCCATGGTTTAAAGAAGGCATGTAAAGGAATTTGGCCATTAGATGCAGACATGCATTTTTTTATTGTTGTTCCCATGTTAAGAGCAATGTTTTCAACCCAAATAGCTGGTATTCCCCTGTTTTTCCACATCCACTATGACTACAGCCAGTTATTTTAATACTCCTTTTTTTCTGATCTTTAGAAAATGTTATCTAGTATCTGCAGTACAGTGGAGGTACCTAACATGATCACTTTCTTTTATGCTGTAAAATTCGTGTGTGCATTCTTGTATTCCTCCTATTTCCCCATAGTTACTATTCTAGAATAAGACGTTAACTAGATAAATGAGAGAGATCTGTTTTGAATTTGGTGAGATTTGTATCAAAGTCTCAGAATAGGGGCCGGCCTGGTGGCGCACTGCTACAGTGCGCCGCTTGGGAGTGCAGCGGCGCTCCCGCCGAGGGTTCGGATCCCACATGCAGACCGGTTCCCGCTCACTGGCTGAGCGAGATGCGGGCGCAACACCGAGGGTTGCGATCCCGTCGCCGGTCCCGGTCCGGTACGGGCGTGACACTGAGGGTTGCGATCCGTTGCCGGACACGAAAAAAGACAAAAAGGAAAAAAAAAAAAAAAAGAATAGAAGTAAAACATCATCAACACGGACCATCAGTTCTCTCAAATTGAAGATCTTTTAACCTCTTCTAGTAGAAAGATAGAAAAGAAGTTTTAGCATCTCTTTGCAAATCATTTATTGAGAAAAATCACTTGCTTAACCTGTTAGTTTTTTCACATAATGTAGGAGGAGGAAAGTTCTACTGCCATGCATGTTGTGAGACTCATTTATAATTATGAAGTCAGCTCTTTGATGGCAGATGCTGGAGTCACCTCTATTCTAGAGCTCATGTGTCATGTATAGTGTATAAACCTTGCCATTTTAAAATTTCTTTCTTGTTGCACATCTTTGGATCATTTTATTCATTTGTGGTTAGGTAACAACAGCAAAACAACATATATCAGTTCTGCTTCATTGATTTTTATAAGAGGTTGGATAAGGTAAGGAATTTAAAACTTTCAATGAACTGTTTTAGAATGATTTTTGCATTTATTTACTCTTTCCTGTATTGTCAACAAGCAAGAGCTGATTTTTTAAAACGGAAACTCAAAGCACAATTGCATAAGGACTTTATACTTATTCTTTCAGCTTCCAAATTACCCAATTGTTAATCCTCAAACATGCAAAGCTCTTTTGTGTCCATTCAGGGCCTTGGCAGTTGTTTACCTTTCATAGAAGGCTTTTACCCAAGAGAGCATGGTTTAATCTCTCATATCATTCAAGCCTCTGTTCAAATGTCACCTCATCAGAAAGGCTTTTCCCTGTTCACCATACCTAAACTAAAGAGGGTCTAGGGAGAATGGTGCTAACACCTTGTTCTGTTTAATTTTTCTTGAAGGCACTTTTCTCTAGCTAAAATTAGATATCTGTTTACCTTGTTGTTGCTTGTTTCCTCCACTAGTAAATACACTCCTGAAGGCAGGGAATTTGTTCACTGTTCTGTTCCTAGGAATTAGAGCATTGGCACGTAGTAGGTACTCAACAAAAATTTGTTGACTGACCAGGTGAATATATTATAAACTTATGATCTAAGGGTAGAATCTAGCCTACAAATGTTATTTGTTTGAACTTCTTTATGTTTTACTTTTTTAAAAAGTTATTTGACCTGACAAATTCATTCCTAGGTATTCTAAGAGAAATGAAAACATACATCCATGCAAAATTGTACACAAATATTCATAACAGCATTATTTATAATAGCCAAAAAGTGGAAACAACCCAAATGTTCATCTGCTGAAGAATGGATAAATAAGAAATGATATATCCATATGTCAGTTCTTAATAATGGAATATTATTTGGCAATTAAAAGGAGTGAAGTACTGATTCCTGCTACAGCATGGATGAACCTTGAAAATATGCTAAGTAAAAGAAGCCAGACACAAAAGACCACATAGTTATATTATTCAGTTTATATGAAATGCTCAGAACAGGCAAATCTATAGAGACAGAAAGTAGATTAGTGGTTGCTTTGTAGTGGGGTGGGTGAATGGAAATTGACTTCCAATGAGAACTGGGTTTCTTCTAGGAGGGACGAAATGTTCTAAAATTAAAAGGCGATGATGTTGCACAACCCTGTGAATTGAATTGTATCTTCTAATGATGACTTTTATGGCATACGAATTATATCTCAATAAAGTTGTTAAAAGAATTTCTTTTATTGATAGCCAAGAACAAAAGATTAAAAAATTGGTGGATTTTCATATCCCAAACCATTAGCTAATGTGCAATCAAGTACAATCCCAGCAGTAGCCTTAGAAATAAATAATTGTTCTTTATTTGAATTTACTCTCCCTTAAAACAGCTATTTTGTAATTCCCTGTGTTATTTTGTAGTTCTTAGTTTGCTATTTTAGTAGGTCAGCTCTCTCTTGTCATGCCTTATCCGCAGAGCCTATTCAGTGGCTTTTGAATGGAAGGTATAAACATGTTTAGTTTGAAACATGAACATCTTAAGAGCCAACTGAAAGTATTACAGAGAATCCCTGACTAGCAACATAGTAAGTGAAGTTTTAGTAATGGGTAAAAAAGCAATCCAACATCCTGGATTTTTTTGTTGCTCTGGTAGAAGACATGAGGATCATCTTTGGATGGGGATTTTTTTTTTTTTTTTTTTTTTTTTTTGACCGGTAAGGGGATCTTAACCCTTGATTTGGTGTTGTCAGCACCACGCTCAGCCAGTGAGCAAACCGGCCATCCGTATATGGGATCCGAACCCATGGCCTTGGTGTTATCAGCACCGCACTCTACCGAGTGAGCCACGGGCCGGCCCAAGGGGATTTTGTTATATATCCTGTTGATTGTACAGAGGCTCCTGAGACTCACCTTTAAAAAAAAACCATCTCAAGTATACCCTTTTTCATTCTGTGATTTTAAGGGATCTCCAAGTCTTTTCTACATCATAAAATATCAGAACTAGAAGGGGATTTTATAAATTATATAGTTTAACTGAGTTTTACAGATGTAAGTAAACAAAAGCCTCTTGATGACAGAAGAGGAACTACAAATTTTAAATCCTTGTTTTCAGCACAGTCACATTGGTAGACTGGCATATCTGAGGTTCACTTCTCCTTGGCTTACAGAATGGGATTTAGAGATTTTGATGTTTCATTCTCATCACAACTATCATGTGGATCAGTTTAGCAGTCCAGATAGGCTGGCTACAGATCAAATTAAATTGCATATGAAAGTACTTTGTGAAATGTAAAGCACTATGAAATTATAAGGTATATCAGATAATTATATGCAGTTTCATCCATTAGGCTGGCTTTTCACATTTCATTTTGAGAGTACTTTTGCGTGTGTGTGTGTATTTACAAGGGATGAATATTTTGAATTATCAAAACAATATAAAAGTTGTTGCAGTGTGTTTATAATAAAGTCCTTACTAAATTCTTATTACTGTTTCGTCTAACTTTTTTTTAGGAACTTAAGAGATTTGAGAACTTTGTAAAATCCTCTCCTCCTTTTGATATTGTCATTGATGGCCTCAATGTTGCCAAAATGTTTCCTAAAGCTCGAGAGTCCAAAGTTGTAAGTACAAATTTCATTTTGTTATTCCGCATCTCTAGAAACATTTATTGTACCCATTTGTGATCTTCCTTGGTGTTCTTAGCTCTCCATTTTTCCTTCCACTAACACTAAGCTTTAAGCAATGCCACAGTGATCAACCACTCATCTAAGATTCACTGTTTTCATCTCTGGCAAGTAAGTGGCTCTTAAGGACTGAGAGTAAGAAATTAAAAGAGTAAGCAATTAAAAGAAAGACTAGGTAATAAAGGGCAAGATCTGCACTTCTTATATAACCTTTAGGTAACCTTCTCCTAGCCCTGTACTCTCTCTTTGGAGTTACTCTATCATTTGTGGGTCAAATGCCTCTGTTTGAAAATTATCAATATATACTTTCAAGAGATATTAATCACCAATTACTCACATTTGTTTTTTTCCAAGCATAGTATGTTCATAAATTATCCTAAGAAGTGCTTTTTTCATAAGATAACCATGTTTTATTAATTTATTAAACTACTTATTAGTAGTTTCTAATAAGAATATCATGATTTTTCATAGCAGCAATGAGTAGTTTTTTTAATTACTATTTTATAGATTAGAAAATTGAAGCTAATTTTGTACAGTTAATCCTTAGAGAACAGTCATGACATAAAAATTAGATTAGAAAGCTCCTGGGTTTAGGCTTGAGGCTCTTAACATTGACCATCTATGGCCATTCATCTGTTGTTGAACTGTGTTATTTCTTAAAAATTGATGCTAATATAAAAGCTTTTTTCTCAGGAATGCTACTAGTCCATTTGGGCATTTATACCCAGAAAAATTTACAAGCACTAACAAAGGACAAGTTTGATTTACAAAAATTTCTTTATATGCCTTTTGTTTATGTTCGTGCCTGCATTCTTATGGTCGAACATGCAATTTTTTAATCCTTTATTTTAAAAAAAGTCACAAAAGGAAATTGAAAATATTTTGTCCTTATTTACCAGAGGGAACCTTTGAGGCAAACTGGAAAACAAAGAATGAAATTCTTATCACTTATGCTTGTTAGAGCTCAGGATCATAAGGGCTTATTCTGAAAAGTTCCCTATCTAATCTGTGAGAAATAAAGTTTCATTTTTGTTTGACCTTCACCTTCAAACAAAGCACTAAAAATTAGCTTGCCAGAGATATAGCTCAAATTGGACTAAGTTTTGGGGGAAAGTAAGGTGTTGAAGCTGATGTAATTAATGGACATGTCCCCCAGCATTATAGGAGAAAAACGTTTATGTTTGGAGAGATTCTAGCACATTTCGGCAAACAGGCAGAAAACAAAAGATTAACTAGGGAATCAGGCAGGTACTACTACTTTTAGCTTTTACTCCGAAAAGAATTTAACATTAACAATAGTTTATGTGACAAGTATTTGTTATTACTTAGCTCTCCAGAGCACTGTTATCTTGTGGTATTATATTATAAATGGTATTATAGTTGGGAAACGTCAGCTCAGAGATTCAGCTTAGAGGAGCCACCTGAATAAGAAAAGAGGAAAAAGCTTCCTTTCAAAGCTAGAGATTTGTGAAAAGTAAAGATGTACGATATTTACCATAGGCCCATTTTTTTGTTGTTGTTGTTACATCTGTTTGCAAGTCCTTTTATGGCTTAGTCTCACTTTCAACTTTCACATTTTCTAGGTTGTCAGAAGTAGGTTTCCACTTTTTCTATTTCTCCTCTAAATAGCATTTTAGTTTAGAAATTAAGAATGGGGATTCTGGAGCTTTATCCTTTGGATTTTTTTTTTTAAAGATGACCGGTAAGGGGATCTCAACCCTTGGCTTGGTGTTGTCAGCACCACGCTCAGCCAGTGAGCAAACCGGCCATCCCTATATAGGATCCGAACCCACGGCCTTGGTGTTATCAGCACCGCACTCTACCGAGTGAGCCACGGGCCGGCCCTTATCCTTTGGATTTCAATCCTAGCTCTGCCACGTAATAGCTTCCATGGCTTGAGCAAGTAACTTAACCTCTCTGTGCCTTAATTTCCCAGTGTGTAAAACAGGGATGTAATCGTGCTTATCTCATAAAGATATTATGAATAATTAAAGGGTTAATATATGTAAGCAATTGGCACATAGTACCTAAAAGGTGTAACTATTATTGTGATTACTATTCAAATGAACTTCCCAAGTGGAGCCATAATTCTTGCTTTCAGCAGACCCTTATCTGACAGTTAAAATTTTTTCCTGTTATGTTATTCATGACAATGGAATTAAAAGAAAATAAAAAGCTCTGTCTAGACTCAGTCTAAGTCAGGTACTCAAATAATAATTGATTTAAAATTGAAGCCAGTACTATCAAAAAATAAGAAGGAATTTAAATATGATAGTTTTAGGCCGGCCCGTGGCTCACTTGGTAGAGTGCGGTGCTGATGACACCAAGGCCACGGGTTCGGATCCTATATAGGGATGGCCGGTTTGCTCACTGGCTGAGCGTGGTGCTGACAACACCAAGCCAAGGGTTGAGATCCCCTTACCGGTCATCTTTAAAAAAAAAAAATAATAAAAAAAAAAAAATATGATAGTTTTAAGAAATTTTGTTTTTTCTGATTATAAAACTAATACATGTTCAATGTAGACAATTTAGAAAGCACAGAAAAGAAAACCATATGTAACATTATTATTCAGTTATAATCACTGTCAATGTTTTGTTTATTTCCTTCCAGAATTTTTCTATTTTATTATCTAGTTGAGCTCCAACTGTGTAAATAATTATATATCTGCATTTTAATTTATAGTCGTTGAAAACGTTCAATAAAAATAAAATTATAAAAAGAGTGGAAAAAAACATTTGTATATTTTTTATATTTGAGGTGGGAAGGACCCTCGAAGCATACATAAAATCTAGGCATGTTATGGGAAGAATAAAGGAATTTGGTAGATGGTAGAAAAATACTAGAAACATAGTTAAAAGACAACAACAAACTGTAGAAATGCTTATAACATATATGACAAAGGGCTGATTTCCTGACTGTATCAAGGATTCTTGTAAGCCTGTAAGAAAAAGATGAACCGTATAGTAGACAAGTCGTTTAACCTTATTCATAATTATTCATAATTATAGATATGCAAATGAAAATATTTGTCTTTCAGACTGTCAGATTTAAAAGATGGAACTACTCATTGTTTAGAATGGTTCGGGGGGAGGTAGAGAGGGTGGTATCAATGCCAGTATTTTCAGTGGGCGATTAGGCTATAACTTTCAGTATCTAAAATGTTGAAATTCTACTTGTAGGAACAAACATATATTTACACTAGTACTTAAAGTTATATATCCGTGTATATTAATTATTGCTTTATTGGTAAGCAGAAAATCAAAACAACCAAAATATCTATCAATCAAAAGCGTGATATGTATTGAAATATCCGTTTAAATGAATAAGATAGATGTATATGTGCTGATAGATAACAATAGCCAAAAATGTAAGTGTAAGAAGCAAGTTGAAGAACATGCTTAGTATGACTTTACTTGTATTAAAAACAAAACAAAAGATTACCCATGTATAGATAAGCATTTGTTACATAAGTTTGTATGCCCAGAAAATTTCCAGAAGCTGTTTAGAGACACACACAAAAAACTTAACAGTGATTCCCTTTGGGAGTTGGGGATAGAGTATAAGAGAATGAGAGGATTTCTATATTTCATTTTTATTTTTTGAATTTTCCTTTACCACAAACATATTACTTTAAAATTAAAAAAAAAAAAAGAACAATATCAGGAAAAGGACAAAGTTATAAAGGTATTCTTGATAAATATTATAAAATAACTGTATAATAAATACTGTGTCTTGAGAGTGTACCACAATTTTTAAATATTTTTCTTTTGTTGGACATATTAGGTTGTTTTTCATTTTTCACTGTGTTAAGTAATACTTTGGAGATCTCTGTGCACATTTCAGATGGTTTCTTTAGGATAGAATCCCAGAAATAGAACTCTTGAGTCAAAGGTTGTATAAATTTTTAAAGGTCTTACTACAGATTGCCAAATTGCTTTCCAGTATGATTGTAGCAATTTATACTACCACTAACAGTGTATAAAAGGGCCCAAATATAACACATTTCTTCAAGGTTCTTTATTACATGATTGCTTCAACAACTAGTTACATTTGTGCCATGAGTCTGTTAAGTGAAAAAGGTTGGACAGTTTCTCTGCCTATTTTTTAGGCTAAACTGATTTTTAAAATTTGGGAACAAAGGGCCGGCCCGTGGCTCACTCGGGAGAGTGCGGTGCTGATAACACCAAGGCCCCGGGTTCGGATCCTATATAGGGATGGCCGGTTTGCTCACTGGCTGAGCGTGGTGCTGACAACACCAAGTCAAGGGTTAAGATCCCCTTGCCGGTCATCTTTAAAAAAAAAAAAAAAAAAAAAAATTTGGGAACAAAGTTTAATGAAATGGTTTCAGAATGGAAATATTCTTGGCTGTCTTTTTTGTCCTCTTTATCTCTCTCTTTTGATACAATTACCTATAAGGATACATAAAGGAAAAATTAGGAATTCTAGTTCCATGAGTCTTGAATTTTTTACTCTTTGCATAATATGTTACAAATTCTTCTTGGTCCTTTTCCATTAATGATTAATTATGAATCCAATATTCTCTGTAAGCTCATTAAATACAAATGAACCTTTTTATATTCATTATTTAGGAGTAGTACCATGATCACATATTGTTATCTCAGAGTCTACAGTTTGAGTGATAGAGAATAAGGAACTAAAAAGAAAGAAGTTTTAGTTATGAATTTATTTTATTTTCTCAATTTTTGGTTGCATCCTTTTTATATTTTAAAGTTCCTGAAGTTAGAGCATGTCTGATAATTGATGTCACAGAAACTTGCCAGCTATTCTTTTTTTTTTTTTTTTTCCTGTTTGTCTTTTTTCGTGTCCGGCAGCGGATCACAACCCTCAGTGTCGCGCCCGTACCGGACCGGGACCGGCAAGGGGATCGCAACCCTCGGTGTTGCGCCCGCACCTCGCTCAGCCAGTGAGCAGGAAC